ATTCCAAGGAATTGAAACAGTGGGAACCGGTTCTCAACAAGAACCGGTTTTCGATACCCATCCCTAGTCTTGCTACATTAGTGCTGTGTGGACGATCTTCCATAGTCCATATGATTGCCTCCTCCCTAACATCAAAGAGACTACACTTAGGCATTTTGAAATGTGGAGCTGTCACAGAAGGCACAACATAGGCACTGAAAAAATGCATCAAATGCACAGGTATATTGAGCACAGAGATTGTCGATTCCACTAATCTAATAGGCTGATGGAGGTTTCCATTTTTTAATAATCCCACTTTCACTCTTTTGGCCCCAAAAGTTTCATCTGCATGGAGCCATTCGGTACATGAAGAGAGGTAGGAAGTCCTCTTCCTTTTTTTGGGTGGAACAGCTAGGCCCCTCCAGTTCTCAACTGCATCCCCATCAGCTGGAAGAATGTTTGTGGCAGCATCAGATCCCACAAACGGGTGAGCATCCATTTTTATTTTGTCTTCTGCACTGTGAGTCGTCATGGATCCAGAATTGGCATCTGTGACTTTCAGTGATCCCACTGTTGCCTCATCTTTGACCTTTTCTTTTGCAGAACAAATCCGCATATTTCCCTCGATGAAGGAAAGATGACGAGCAATGAAGCGATCGACTCGAACAGGCAAGTTTTCATGTTTGAAAAGGCCATGTTTTATGTTTTTGAATTCAGCTTCAACAGTGGCTGAACTTGCTGTGATGCTGGTGCTTTGGAAGAGAGGGACCATTATTCCTGTCCAGAGTGGCAAGTAACTTGCCAGTCTTATTATATGAGGAATAATCTCAGGGAGAAAGTGAATATTATCTCTATCCCCGTTTGCTGCAGCAAGTGACCTGCGCTCCTCACATATTTCTGTTATCCACTGTCGTAGGTCAGTCTGGATCTCATCCACTGAATCCACTGTCTCACTTTCCTCCGTCTGTTCATCTGGAATGATGATGGAGTCTTGAGCAATTTGGGCTTTCAAGTATTTCTTGCACCTTTCTGAAGGAAGAGGGGCTCCAGAACTGTCATCACCTTCTGCCTCACTGAGGGCCACAACAGTGATAGCACGTAGGAGCTGTTTTGCATGGTCCAAACATTGAGACTGAAGAAGTTTTGCTAATGACCTGACAATGAAATCTTTAACACGATGTGTTTTCTTTTTCAGGCAGTCCCACTGGCATATCATCTTGATGCAGTGCGCAACATCAACCCTGATAAAACAAGGGGGGAGTTTGGCAGACTGGGTTCCAAGAAGGACATTCATTAAGGTAGGACTTGGAGGAGTGAAGGAGGAGTGAAAGCCTTGACCAGAGCTCCCAGAATTGCCAGAGAAAAATCACTCACAGCTTCCTTTGGCACAGGTGCACCTGCACAAATCCATTCTGTCAACCAGTTTGCGATGGCATTAACATCATGTTTCTCTGACAGCATTTGCACCACTGGGACACTGGGGCAATTGTTTTCTTTCAGAATACCTTGATAAAGGAAGATATGGCCAGATTTGCCATTTGGTCTCAGCAGTTTTTTCACAACTGAACTGGTTGCATCAAAACACACAGTTGGGGGAGATTTTTTTGACAATGTCTTATAAACATGCATCTGTGTTTGACTCCAGTAGTGACAGAAAAACCTGTCCAGTCCAATATCTCGGATGCTACCACTGTGAGGAACACTATATTTTAACAATTGCAGAGATGCAATGGGGTCCTTATCTCCTAATTCCAAGTCTTTTCTCTCTTGTTTGGCTTTTCGCAGAGTGGCCAAATTTGGAAGGTGGCTTGGCTCAGGATCTCCAACATCCATCAGATCTGCTGCCCTCGCTGACCTCCATACAGCTGGTTCCATTCTGCCCTCACACAGCTCTTTAGCGATCTGTTCACGCAGGTTTCCAGACATGAACCTCTTGGAGTGGCCAGTGTGCAGGGAGAGATCTGTATTTCTCATGAAACACTGGAGCACCATTGGACTATTAATTGCTGCTGTCACATGACATTTCTAACTGGCCATGACACTCCTTACAGTCGCCTCTGATGTCCAGATAATTATTGTTGACAGTTGGATGGACCTTTGCTCTACGGAACACAAGTGTACATGTATTTTTGATCTTCTTCCATATAAGATCGTTGAT